GCCTATATAGATAGGTCAAATTGTATAATGTGTATAATGTGCCTAGTCACACCATTATGTAGGAAAGAAATAGCACTATTTTTTTACCCTCTATAATCATGGATTTCTTTTATTTAATGATATCTTATATAAGCACCCTGTTTGTTATGCAAAGGTCTCTAGTGCAATCTGTAATGGTTTATTTTTAGCCAAGAGTGTTGCAGTTGTTGAGAAACTTGTCTTTGCTATTTTATTATTTCTTTCCTTTGTTAGAGAAGAGAAAAGAAATTAAAAGATTGTGATTCCTGTGTCACTGTTTCTAGAGTCGATGTACCATTGCCTGTTGTGCATGTAAGTTCTTCAATAATTTTTAGTGAGTACCTATTTAAAATACATTTAAAGTACATTAATTAAGAAGAAATTGCATGCATTTTGACTCAAAACTAGTTACTTCTGTTGTGCCTATTTGGGCAATCTCCTGCCTAATAGATAATGTTTTAAGGAGTGTCTGACTTTTGATACCACCATGATTAAGTTTACTTTTGATACCACCATGATTAAGTTTACTTTTGATACCACCATGATTTTACCGCCATCATTTCAATAATAGTGTTCAAATGCACTATTTCCTTCCTACATAATGGTCCTACTTTACTTTTAGAGATTTCCTACTTTTAGAGATTTTGAGTATTGTTAATAAAATTTTTCTTGAAGTGTGCAAAAAAACTTCAAAAGTGATTGATCCAGTGTAATTAAGAATCATCCAGTGTAAAAAAGAAGTACAATGTATCTGTACAAGGAGTGGACAGGGTTTTGTCCTTCTAATGGCTGGCCATTTATATTTGTAGATTAATTTTGGAATGAATATTAGGATGTAAAAATGGCTACTTAGTGATAATCACCATAGTTTTAAAGAACTACTGTAATGTGATCTTTTCAGACCTGGGGTCAATTACAATTGTAATTATAATTTAATGGTCAATTACAATTACAGTTGTGTAATTGTAATTGAGCTTCAGCTTACGTAATAGAAGTTTCAGTTATATTTGATTTAACTAACTACAGAATGTACAGATACACAAAGAAATGTTTTTAATGTACACTAGTGTCTATTGGTTTATTTGATAACTGCAAATCACTACCTGATGTAAATTCTAAGCCACAGTGTAAGCATTGCAATGTATCTTTTTGACATCAAGTTGTAATTGTAATTGAAAATGTAATTGAAATTACACTGTCATGGTGTAACTGTAATTGTAATTGAGCCTCTTCTTGCAAAAGGAGCGTAATTGAATGCGTAAATATAATTGAGCTTTTGTCATTGACCCCTAGTCTGGATCTTTATATCAGTAATTTCAATGATTTTGCCAAAAATATCTGTCACTTTAGCTAACCTCAGGCACTATTCATTTAATTTCTAATTGCACATTTTGAATGAATTATATTCTGGTATGCAGTAGC